TCGTCTAGTGCATGGTTAACACCACTTGAAATAGCCCCAGTTTATTTATTTCAAATGGCAGGCGTTGTGTAGTTGTCATTAGCCTTTAGCTGACTTCGGGCTTCACAGAGGGGAGGAACATCAAAGTGACAAAAATTCGAGGTGGGGAACAGAAGAATGATTCACGGATGTCAAAGAGACAGACAGAAAGGCAGAGAAAATGTAAGATGAGTACTGTGGAAGGGGTCGGATATGACATACAGTGCGGTGATGGTAGTTTGAAGTTAAAATTCAGCTGCCGGTTAATAAACTTTTTTGCCGTATGAGTATACGTTGCCCAGGGTGCACCACTTGGAGGTAAGTCTATCGCACATCCAGAAATAGCCCAACTAATTTCTGTGTGCTGATTTAAAGATACCCACTTTGAGTGAATTGGATTTCATAAGCTTTCTGGCTAGCATCTCATCTGTTCTACCTCATTCACTGCTTTCTATGCGTAACTCGGCTCCTTGATGCAGGCTGGTTATTGCTTTTCCCCATTGGATCTGACACCGACAATTACGCAGCTCCTTAGCCATAATTTGAATTCTTTAGCTTAAAAGTTTTTGCCTTAGGAGTTATTCCAAATAGAACTACTCTACTACCGAATTTTGTTTCTTTCCCATCTGGCTGTTGAAGCCGAGGGTTATCAGCTTTCTTAACGTAGCGTGAACCAGAGGCGAGCCCACATAGAAGGAAAAAGTCAAGCCACTCGCTACAGTGATGGCGAAGAAGCCACCTCACTGTATTGCTGCATGATTTTGCTTTTTATATAAAAAGGCCTCTGCCAATGTCTCGGCGTGATAATTGCGCCTTTCATAGGTAGATATGTCTAAACACGCCTATGGATACTCTGCAGTCGAGATCTTATCGCCAACCAATCATTTCTGACCCTTACAATGTTTAGTAAAAAGGGGTGTGCCATAGACTTACCTCTACGCGGTGCACCCTGGACAACGTATACTCATGCGGCAAAAGTCTATAAACCGGCAGTTGACTTTGACTTCAAACTACCTTCACCCCACTGTATGTCATTGTCGACTTCTTCCACAGTACTAACCTCACCTTTTTTCTACCTTTGTGTCTGTCTCTTTTACATCTTTAAAACACTTCTGCTCACCCTCCTCTCTAGACTTTTTTTCGATTTGATGTTCCTATCCCTCTGTGAAGCCTGAAGTCAACTAAAGGGCTAATGATAACTATCATAAAGCCTGCCATTTGATATAATTAAATAAATATATGTTTATTAAAATTCTGGAATCTCTTCTACAATGTAATTTAAAAATATTTTGAATCAAATACTTTTTACAAGAACCTCATTCATAAATTGGCAAATATAGCTGAAGGCGCTGATAATTTAACATAATTTTTGCACCAAAGCATAATGGTTGAAGGAAAAAATCAATTTCTCGAGGTAAAAGAGCTGAGTCTTCCTCGAATGCCTTCCACCTTCGCCAACATTTGTACACAGCTAATTCGAACAGGATTTAATAGCCCTCCCCCCAAAAAAAACCCTTTTTACTCCTTTATCAATCAGTCATTTCAATCTACGGCTTAGTGGCTTGGCAGTGCGGATTTTTCAAGTTTACCGTAGCAAGAGTTAAGTCCGCATTCTTAACATAACCTTGAAAGCGCTAGGTTTTAAGAATATGACTCCCGTTTTGTATATTAATTAAGATAGACGTAGGGGAAAAGTTTGTATAACCAGTGTGATGCGGAGACAGAAACAAAAATCAATTGAATATGGATAAAAGTGTATTAATTTAGACAATATGTTTCTCAAATGCTTTAACTTAAATGGGTTAAGTTCATTCATGAGCTTCGGAACTAGATCTAATTGCTGTTTGCAACGTGATTTCAGATCGACCAGATTTCAGCTCACACCTTGCCTACAATGTAGATAATGGATCAGTAGAAACGGAACAAATTATCTCAGTCTTATTAGATATTACAGACTGCCAATTACCTTTAGCATCACCTTCTCTTTCCTTGGCGGTTAATTTTTTCAATTTATTGCGTTCATGGAAGAGAATCACCAGGTAGAGCAGGGCACCACTAACAATCGTGGCTCCAGACACCAACAATGGCACGGAGTACGTGGAAGTAGCAGCCACAATCATTCCTAAAAAAAAAAGTGAAACGGAAATTAAACATCGTTGCTCATAAAACTCGCACACAATCAGCTTATCAATCATAAATTCAAAGACATCCTGAACTGCTTTTAAAGACGGAGAAAGAGATGTAAACATTAAATAAAGACTTCATCTGGGGCTTCTTACCATCAGTACAGAAAGAGGTCGAGCAAATTCTATATTGGTATCGAGAAAGAGAAAACGAACTGAACAGAATAGAGGACTTCCAAGTAGTCAAATTCAACTTTAAGCTATTTTATGGAAGAACTATGACGTAAAACAGTCTTCACGAAATCACAAACGAAAGAGCGCAAGATCGAAGGTACTCGATTTCAATTAGATTGATAAAAAGGTAAGCAATTAATTAAACTACAGCAGTGTCATGAAATTCGAAAGTGATGTTAAGTCAGTATGATTTAGAAAATTAATAAAACACTATAAAAAACTCGAAGTACAACCCAAAATCGAAATTCGTTATCCTTTAAAACTTATATGCTACCTATGTGGGGTGTGCGATAGACTTACCCCCACGTGGTGCACCCTGGGCAACGTATACTCATATGGCAAAAAAGTCTATTAACCGGCATTTGACTTCTGACTTCAAACTACCATGGCCCAACTGCTTGTCAAATTCGACCCCCTTCACAGTACTTATCTTATCTTTTTCTCTACCTTTGAGTCTGTGTGTCTCTTTTAAATCTGCGAATCGCTCTTCTGTTCCCCACCCCTCGACTTTCTGCTACTTTGATGAACCTTCCCTCTGTGAAGCCCGAAGGCAGCTAAATGGCTAATGATAGCTGTCAAAACGCCCGCCACTTGAAATAAATAAATAATAATGCTACCTACGTAATTCTAAGTAGTAGTGTTTCAATAAACT